ATGCTCTAACCACTGAGCTATCACAGCGGCCCTCCCTCCATCCACTTTTTTGGGTTTATCTATGAATTTAGAAGTAGGAGCGACAGTCAGCGCCATCTATAAGCCAAACAACGAGTGTGAAAACACCCTTATGCGCATGTTTGGCGTGACGTAGCACGTGAACTTATTATGAGCGGGCAGCTGAATAATTGTCCCTCTTATACAACCTAAACACACCTAGTTTGCCAGTACGAGACCCTCGTTCAATGAAATAAGGGAAAGAAGTGTATACCTAAGGGCTCGTTTTTCCGTGTTTTAACACAATATTAATGAGATATAACAGACAGTAATGCCAAGGAATGTACAGGGGAAGTTATTAAAATCAATTGAATGTAAATGAGAAGAAAGAAAAGTGGATGAAAAAATTACCAACTGTGAGCAGGAATCGAACCTACGACCTTCGAATTACGCGTTCGATGCTCTAACCACTGAGCTATCACAGCGGCCCTCCCTCCATCCACTTTTTTGGGTTTATCTGTGAATTTAGAAGTAGGAGCGACAGTCAGCGCCATCTATAAGCCAAACAACGAGTGTGAAAACACCCTTATGCGCATGTTTGGCGTCACGTAGCACGTGAACCTATTATGAACGGGCAGCTGATTAATTGTCCCTCTTATACAACCTAAACAGTGGCTCAGTGGTTGGAGCATCTCAGTGGTTAGAGCATCTCAGTGGTTAGAGCTCAGTGGTTAGAGCATCGAACGCGTAATTCGAAGGTCGTAGGTTCGATTCCTGCTCACAGTTGGTAATTTTTTCATCCACTTTTCTTTCTTCTTATTTACATTCCATTGATTTTAATAACTTCCCCTGTACATTCCTTGGCATTACTGTTTGTTATATCTCATTATTATTGTGTTAAAACACGGAAAAACGAGCCCTTAGGTATACACTTCTTTCCCTTATTTCATTGAACGAGGGTCTCGTACTTGCAGACTAGGTGTGTTTAGGTTGTATAAGAGGGACAATTAAACAGCTGCCCGCTCATAATAAGTTAACGTGCTACGTGACGCCAAACATGCGCATAAGGGTGTTTTCACACTCGTTGTTTGGCTTATAGATGGCGCTGACTGTCGCTCCTACTTCTAAATTCACAGATAAACCCAAAAAAGTGGATGGAGGGAGGGCCGCTGTGATAGCTCAGTGGTTAGAGCATCGAACGCGTAATTCGAAGGTCGTAGGTTCGATTCCTGCTCACAGTTGGTAATTTTTTCATCCACTTTTCTTTCTTCTTATTTACATTCCATTGATTTTAATAACTTCCCCTGTACATTCGTTGGCATTACTGTCTGTTATATCTCATTAATATTGTGTTAAAACACGGAAAAACGAGCCCTTAGGTATACACTTCTTTCCCTTATATATATATATTTATATATAGGCCAGACTCTGGCCGAAACTGTCGAATTAAACACTTCCGTTGTTACCGTTCTCTTGGAGGATCTACTTGACTTATATATATATATATATATATTGACATACATAGATAGATAGATACGCTTAAATACGCCAAAGTTCGGTAACAAATGCTTCGCATTTAAAAAAAGTAGACAGATCAATCATGGAGTTGATATCTATTATATGCGAAGCACGAATGAGGAAGGTTGATATGTCACTTTATATAAGCACAATGCTTCGATGTGAACATAAGTTATGGCCTAAATTACTTCTGTGTCATGATTTTATTGTTTGGGCGTGTCATTTAGCTTTGTCGTCTATTCACGTCAGGGGATACGAAATTCGATATATGTGAAGCTAGCAATAAAGCTCCGAGCGCGCAACTAGTGTAGCATTGTAGTCAAGTTTTACATGACACACACGTCATGATTATTATGTTTCGGCGTGTCAATTAGCTTCGTCGACCGTTCGCGCTACGCAATACCTAATTTGGTATATGTGAAGCAAAACTGCCGCGAGCGCTACATGAGCGTGGCATGTAGTCATGATGTTACATTATACCTTTTACTACCTTTAAGGGCCCTGAACAGGGCATTACATAAGAGGGGTTTGCAGAGGTTTTACAGAGGCAGTAAGGTTACACAGACAAACTCTACATACAACACCCTTCAGGATTGTGGAAAATACAGAGCACTTCAGTACTAATTATCGCTGAAAAAATGTGTAGACACAAGAATGCCTGGAAGCTAAAATTTCCCTGAGTAATATTGAAAATTGGGCAGGTTGGTAACTATTCATTTTTCAAGGTAAACAGCCCAAAAACAAGACAGAGAAGTAGGAAGACGCAGGACCTGTGTCTGTGTCTTCCTACTTCTCTGTCTTCGTTTTTTTCGCTGTTTACCTTGAAAAATGAGCTAATGTTTAAAGCATAAGACAATAACAAAGCTATTACAACGTAGATCAATTACACAGCGCAGTTACAAACGATTGAAACAGGCGATAATAAACAATCAAACATTATGCATCTCAGGAGTATCATGTTCGCACTAGTCACATATCTTCGTGATATCAAATTCACCAAATTCGTAATTTCAAATTTTGTATATTTTTAGCTATCGAAACGGCCATGACTGTTGCATGTATAGTCATGACCTACATAACAACCATGTCATGATTTCCACGCTACGATGTCACTTGTGTTCACCGTGCAGTTATATCATACTATACCAGTTTAGAACATGTGATCTGCACGAAACCACCAAATTGGCATCAAGACCATGAGTTGTAAATCTTGAAAGTCATTAAAAGCATGTCTTGATTTTCACGTTGTGACTAAATACTTATGCTTTTCATACAGTCATGCTATGTTATACTTATTTTGGTATTGATACAGTCATTGAAACAGCCAGGAAAGCTAGTTCTTGGCGACCACATAGATAGATAGATAGATAGATAGATAGATAGATAGATAGATAGATAGATAGATAGAAATTTGCCGCAGGTTGCCAAGAAATGCTTCGCATTTAAATTGGTATGGCATAGCAAGACTGTATGATGAGCCTAGCTGACAAGTCATAACATGAAAATTGTGAAGTGTATGTCCGAAATGTGAGGATTTACATGTGCATCTTCCTGCTCTTGTAGTGGTTCGGTTAAGATGACGTATCGCAAAACAGGTACGGTATGAGATGACTTCAATGCGAAAATAAGTGGCAGGCTTTAACGTAGAAATCAAGACATGTAATTCATTTTCGACATGACTACATGCTCCGCTCGTATTTTTTCATAGCCGTTTAGCTAGCTTTACACATACGAAGTTCGGTGTAACGGGATATGAGTGGGTAAAAAAGGTATGTAGCTGATTCAAACATGATAATCATGGCATGCGTGTCATGTAGAAACATGAATGCAAGCCATGCTCGTGATGCTCTGGCGGCCGTTTCGCTAGCTTCCCATGTACCAAGTTTCGTATTGCGTGACTTGAATAGATGACGATGGTATGTGACAGGTGAAAACGCGATAATTATGACATGCGTGTCTTGTAAAACATGACTACAAGCTACGATCATAATGCACCCGTGGTCGTTTCGTTAGCTTCACATTTATGAAACTTGGTATTACGAGACGTAAATACACGACGAAGGTAAATAAGACCGCCGAACATCTCCACTACGGCGTTTCTCATAACCATATGGTGGTTTTGGGACGTTAAATCCCACATATCTTTCTATCTATCGGCCGAACATAATATTCACGACTTGCGTATTATGTTAAACTTGAACTTGCTACGCTCCTTGCACGCCTACGGCCGTTTTGACAGCTTCACATATAACAAGTTTGCTGTTACGTAACGTAAGTGGACGACGAAGATATATAAATATTCCAGACATGATAATCATGGCAAGCTTGTCATGTAAAACATGACCACATGCGACGCTCACAGCGGGCTCGTGGCCGTTTGGCTAGCTTGACATATACAAAATTTGGTTTTACTTTACGTGAATGGACGACAAACAGATATGCTAGGCATAAACATGATAATTACGACTTGTAAGACAGGTGTGGCATAAGTTACGACCACCTCGTAACGTTGGGCAGATTTTAAAATGACATATCAACATTCTTTCATTCATGCTTCGCATATCATGAATTCCAATTGTAAGGGGTGTCTGCTTATTTTTGTACGTCCGTATTTGAAGAGGCTGTAAGGCATGAAATGAGTGTAAATGTTGCTGACCCGCAGGTCGCTGGATCGAATCTAGGCTGCGCCGGCTGCATTTCCGATGGAGGCGGAAATGTTGTAGGCCCGTGTGCTTAGATTTGGGTGCACGTTAAAGAACCCCAGGTGGTCGAAATTTCAGGAGCCCTCCACTACGGCGTCTCTCATAATTATATGGTGGTTTTGGAACGTTAAACCCCACACATCAAATAAATCGAGTGTAAATGTATATTTGCTGGCTTGATATGAAGGCACTCAGATTTAAATTTTAAAAAGGAACTGAATAACTGTTCTCTTTCACGCACGCTTCAGTACATATGATATTTGCAATGTAATAAAAATATGTAATCATTATTTATCAGTCACTAATATTATTTGCATAAAAGTACATAATTATTAGGCCCAAACGCACGCACAAACTTTTTTTTGTTGCATTCGTTTCAAGCAAGTAAAAAATGCTCATGACGTGGTTCCTGGAACACTTCACGTCAACTGGTCGTTAAACATGGTAGCGTTGCCAGCAAACTGATTTTTTGCAGCATTACGCAGCATAGAAAACCTAAATGAATAGTATTTATCCACTCAGAAAGCCGATACAAATGTGCACAGTACGTTTCAAGCCATTTGAACGAACACGCAGCGCGTGACGTGCATCTAAGTTGCATCTAAAGAAGCATCTAAAGAAGCGTGCATCTAAAAAAGCATGTGCACAGCGGCACATGCTTCTTTATATCTTCTTAATATCTCTCAGCTGAAGGGGAATACTGTACGCGCACGTGTTTTCCAACGAAGTTCAGTATATTGCGAGAGAATATTCTGCAAAGCTACTGTGTATTACTTTCTGCAGTTCATGGCTTCCGGTGTGACTTTTCTTAAGTTTACTACGTTGGAAGTTCGTGGTGTAACATGCATCAAAGCACGAACAACTTGGGTCACTGCAAACCGAACCTTTATACAGCATGAGGTTGTCAAGTCTGATGGGAACTGGTGAGTCTTCATTTTTACTCCCAGTTTATAGTAGTACTTCCCGCCAGTACTACAATATAGTTGATGACATATTTAATAAGTAGAAGCAATTTAGAAAGTTCAACCATTTAGGATGGTGTTTGTGTTCATTCTGATAACCATAGCACTGGTGTATTACGTGCAACTAGAGGTGCAATGGCCGAGTGCGAGTATAGAGAGCAATTTTATAATACTTCGCAGCACATCCACAGCAACAATGTGCAAATTACAGAAAAAAAATGGCCCTGTAACTCGATGTCATACTGCAAATGTCGTCAAAAAACGATAGTCTTGCGTCTGGAGTGTGACCAAACGTTTATTTGATGTTCTGCGCAAGAAAATCCTTGAATCGTATACTGGAGGCACTGCGTTTGAGTGCCTGGAACGTGCAGCGGAAACGAACGAGCGCATCAAGTCACGTCATACGTGAGACATAGGCGCTATCTGGCAGTTATCTTGGAAAACGAAGCGCATGTGCCCTGCGCGCCCATCTCGCTGGTGATCAGTATAGAACGCAAGGCGACGGGCAGGTGCTACCACTGTGTCGTTTTAGCAAAGCATTGGAAACACTTGCCTTTTCGTGCAAGCGTTGCCGGGTCAGCGCGACGTGATAAACGCTATGATCGTCTTAAGTACTTATGTATGCTTTGCCGAGTAAAAGACACACATACAGAATATTGACGTGCTGTTATAGTGCCTCATATATACGCAATAGTTGCATTTTATTTGACAATCACACGAGTATTAACGCTGAATTTTGAGCAATATTGGTGGGTGTTGTGGATAGGGTCAGCATTTCCGAGTATCGTTTGGCCACTTTAGTGCCGTTTTATGTACCGTTAAGGGCAGACAATCAGACAAACCTGCACACAGACAGCCAGACGAAAATGTTTGCGTCATAGGTCCTCAAGAAAGACTGTCGTCTTTAATAGAGTCAAAGCAGCCACCTCGAAGAACGTGTCTTATGTTCATCACTATAGATTGGAGCTGAAGTTTCTTGTCGCTTTTCCTCCAGGTGGTCGTGGCGCCTGCTGTTGAGCTGGCCCGTACGCTCCAGTGGCGTTGCTAGGTTGGACTTGCGTCATTAAAAACGTGACAGTGTTAAAGAGCATGTTTGGCAGGAATTTTGGCGTCCGAATCGGTGTCGGCGTCATTGGTAATGAGCAATAAACCGTTTTTTTGCATGTCCAAAAATTAAGAAAACTGCAAATAAAAATAAATGCTAGAATATTTTGGGCACAAGGGAGGTTAATGCCCAGATAGTTTGCTGGAAAGTAGGTATTATACCACACAGCCACTTGTCTGCTTAAAATTACAACGAATAAAAATTCATCTGCTTGCATATACAATCAAAGTAATTGTGCAAGTAGTTAGTAAGTTTACTAGACACTGAGTCGGTCTCAGCTAGCTCCTTGATTTTATCTTTCTTGTTCGTGTGGCACTGTCGAAATTTATCACAGAATCAAAGAAGCTTTTTTTCTGCAAGAGGTAACATAAGTTTATTAGGGATAAGTCACAGAAGTTTTAGAACGTTTTTAAGAGAAAAGTAAATCAATAACAAACATATACATGGCCATATTGCAACTTCGAATCACAAGAGCACTTCTACACTTTTAATTGTGAACTTTCACGGCATCTTATTTCTACCAAATCAGCCCTCTTTTCAAAGTCTAAGGCCCTGCTCTTTGGATAATGCTATTTCTCAGCAAGGTGCACTTAATATGCTTCTTCAGTCAAAGACGAAATCAATCACGGCTTCTGACAGCATTCTCAGCCCCTTACTTCGACGTTATGCCGAGCCTAATGAGTAAATTACTTGCAGTAAGCTACAGGACCCTCTGGAATCCGTAATGCTTGAACGCGATTAGAAAATTGTACATATTGTATCAATATGAAAAAACGACCCATCTTCAGCCCTAAATTACCATCTGATTTTTATTTTATCGTCTTGGCTGAATATTTGCGCATATGCTTGCAGACAACTTTATTAACTTCCTAAATTGGCAGAGACTTTAACTCCATATCGACGTGGCTTTTCGATGAGTCCACTGAGAGTTACTCCATTGAGTAATGGCATTTATTAGTTCGCTTTTGTCTTTGACAGAGGTATCCTGATGAATGCTCTATTTCTAGATTTTCTAAAGATCTGTGATGTAGTGCCTCATGACAAGTTATTCTGCAACCTTTATTGCCCTATTTTTTCTAGCTTCAGCCTGTCGTTCATAACTGCTTACTTAGTGCATCGGAAACACTGTGTTGTGATTGACGGACAGCAATCTGTGTCTTTCTTGGCAGCATCTGGCACCCCCCAAGAATGTAGGTGTCCCAGTAGGTGTCACGCGAGCCTTTGTTAGTGTTGCTCTTTTGGACGGAGACTGTGTTATTTTGAACGATATTAATACTGAAGATGAGTTGTTGCTTCGTTCAGCAGTAAACAGTATTTTGATACGGAGCGATAAATGGGGCATAAAACTAAACTTCTCTAAATCGGTGTTCCTGTGTAGAGCTAGCAAAAAACAGTGCCCCTGAAATTTCAATGATTCATTAACCAAGACCCATTAGTTTAGAGTAATGAATCCAAATATCTTCAAATACCATTACTAACAACCACCATTAAACGACTCACACTACTAACATCGCTTCGTGATTTTTATAAAATGATGTCTTCTTTGCCAAAAGCCTTGCCCCACCATGGTGGTCTAGTGGCTAAGGTACTCACTGCTCACCCGCAGGTCGCGGGATCGAATCCCGGCTGCGGCGGCTGCATTTCCTATGGAGGCGGAAATGTTGTAGGCCCGTGTTCTCAGATTTAGGTTCACGTTAAATAACCCCAGGTGGTCGAAAGTTCTGGAGCCCTTTACCACGGCGTCTCTCATAATTATATGGTGGTTTTGGGACGTTAAAACCCACATATCAATCAATTGCCAGAGGCCTAAACACGCACATGATGGCTGAAACACCTTACGATATACAATTTTTATCAGACCCAAATTAAAATACGACTGAGATATCTTGGATCGCTTCATCTGAACGAAAATTAGCGCTCTTGAAAGAGTAGAGAGAAGTGCCATGCGATTCAGTTTTTCAAGATACAGTTACAATCAATGTGTAGCTCAACCTTTAGGCTGCCAAAAATATTTCAAACACTTCAAATGAGCTATAAAGTTTCTCGACTAATGTTCCTTTCTTATTTCTTCAATGGTAAAATTTTACACATCCCGGACCTCGCACACCTTTCCCTAACCTTTCTGTCGCTTGGAAAACTCATCATTCGCAATTCTTCAGAACCTCTCTTTTTTTCGCCAGAACTGCACTGTTTAAATATTCTTTCATTGAACAAATGAAAAATGAATACTGATCCATATTCATTATCTGCACTCACATGAATCAATACAGAATAACATCCTCACTGTTCCCTAATAATATTCAATTACTAGTTCCCTGTTTGCTTGATTTTGATGGAGATTTTCACTTTATTAATTTTGTACCTTGCTACTACTACGTGGGCCATATGGCCTGCAGTATGTCATAAATAGAAAAATAACCTGCATGCTTTACGAACACACGCGTCGTGCAAACATACTTTTCAAAAAAACATCTAATATCTCTGGAATAATGCTTCACACATACGTACGTTGCCATCGGTCGTCAAAACATGAAATTATCATAAGAACTACATGGTCAACCACTACAAAAAGCACGCATGTTACTGCTTCTACTTTATACAGGCCACGTAGTGGGTGCATAGCGAGCTCAAAAATGTTTACGCGAGTAATGAACCTTGATGTAACGCACTTACCCATTGCTTAGAATGCAGCAAAAGCTAATGCTTCCCTAACTAATTTCGCTTTCAGACTTATCAATTTCCTTGTAGTAATTCACAATTTAAGCTTTTCGAGTCACCAGCTACGATGGCCTACTGGCTGACACATTCGTAAGCCGACTCGCAGGTCGCGGGATCAAATGCCGACGGCAGCCGCCGCATTTTCGACGGAGGCGTTAAATATGGAGACCAGGGTGCTTAGATTTACACGCAGGTTAAAAAATACCAGGAGTTAGAAAATTTGGGAGCACTCAACTACAGCGTCTGCCATAATCATATGCTAGTTTAGGGACGTAATATTTCAACACTAACCACATGCAGTAATGTCATACTCTAAAAATATCATTTAAGTAGTTGCAGTACGCGATGGAGACCGGCTTTTGCTATCATGGTCAACTGTTCAAGGTGAATCTTCAGGGTCCTGTAATTTTTTTCTTAAATATTATCTAGCATTTATCCTAGCTGAGAAATTACTGAGCAGAATGGTGGTTCTGCTTAGCTTGATATAGACCAGTGCCACATTTCATTACGTCTTTATTGACTTCAAAAATTAATCCTGTTTCACGAATAGTTAGAGCGTTAAGATAACTTGAAATATTTATAGTAGTAAAAATATTCCTTTTTGTTCTGGCGCTTGTAGATCTATTTCCTTCTTTGAAAAAATTTCATTCATTACTCAACCTTATGCTCTTTTTTTTTCGCCGAAAACGTACCTCGCTTAGAGACAAATACAGAATATATAGAGCAGGTCTCAATCGAGGTGATTGTGCTGGTTTATACAAAATCTTCTCCAGAACTTTTTCTCCTATGCTTTAAAAATAAACCAGCTTAGGTGAATAAGTCAACTGGTGTTTGGGGCTTATCTTGGGTGGTATGCCAGATTACATTACAGGCCAATCGCGTTTCAGAGTAATTTTGGAATGCCCATTCGAATCTTTCAAAAATATTATTCACTCAGTCAGAGCTATAGAGCTTAAGAAATCAGTGTTCTTTGAAAGAAAGGACTGGTGATAAGTGACAATTATGTTTGGTGTATAGCTCAGCGAGATAGAGTACCGGCACAGTACTACACGTGAAATAGAACAAAGGCCGCTGCCTTATGCAGGCTTACGTCGCGCTATGAACGATATTTATTTTAAGAGCCTCCTCGTGATTAGTT